ATTGCATTAAGAATATATTTGTCGATTCTTGGATCAAATGCAGAAGGAGAAAGATCTTTTTCCAGATTAAGATTGATAAAAAATTATTTGCGTTCAACAATGAATCGAGATCGTTTGGCATTGCTCGCACTTATGTCTATTAAATACGACATTTTGCGTAGTTTGGAATTCGACAGCATAATACAAGATTTCGTTGAATCCAAATATCGCAAAAAAGTAATATATTAGATCATAAGATTCTGCAAAATAATTTATTACCGAAAAATATTATATTTTTATTTGTATCTTCATAATTTTGTGCAAAATGCACTTGTTATTTTTAAAGCTAAATTATTTCTGTCAACAAATTTTTTTCTCCCAAGTTTTTCGTAGGCCCCTGAATTTCGTAGACCCTAGGCACGTGCCTAGTGTGCCTATAGGTTAATCCGGCCCTGCACACACTTCTCCAGTTTCAAGCACCCAATTATTAGAAATTGAATGTCAGTGAAAATTTCTAGATTTCTCATTTGTATAACCACGTTAAACATTTTATTTCAACAAAGAGATTTTACATAACATTGCGTTTACTGTTACGCGGACCTAATTTTATACCCTTTAGCGACATAGCAATTTACAGGTAAATATATATGCGCATACGTTATTAATCACAATCAGCGTTCATATTTGAGTTGGTGGGTAACGTATCACTTCACAAAATCTCTCTGTTGTAAAGTCGTCTCAATACTTGTATTTTAATATATAATTACAGACCAACAGGATAACCACGTTAGTGGGGTATCCTGTAATGTACTAGCATTAATGTACTAGCATTTTTTTGTTCAGTACATTAACCTACCAAACCCTAACCTTGCAGATTTGAACTCAATCCAGAATAAAAGAAACTCTCTGCGTTTACAGGGAGGTCACCATCAATAAATATTTAAAAAAAAAGAGTACAAGTGTTTCATGTGGCTTTTGAATGAGAAATCTAAATTATATTTAATTTTAGCAATCGTAAATAACTTTCCTTAAAAAAGAATTTTATTAATAACTCATTTGCAGCATGACAATGTACGCAGAGTCTGGTTAAGACAAGGGCATACGGGTAGTTGCCCCGGCTCCCCACATCAGGGGGGGGGGGTGCCCAAATCGAACAGAAAGTTTATTTTACGTTTCCATCTTTAGTGAACTTTTTTTTAAACAAAATATTAGCACTGTGTGAAGTCCGTCAATTTAATGTTAGCTTCTTCATTGCAATCCATCGTATGAACACAATCTATATTTCGTAAATCCATAGCTTTTTAGAGCGGAATTCAGCTAAATTTTCGCAATTACGATGGACAAATTTGGCCAATCTAAAGCCTGTATGTTTACATATCGCAAAATGCGATAGGTTTTCAAAAATACAGGCTCCTGATTGGCTTAATTGAGACATCGAAATCGTGAAAATTTAGCTGAATGCCTCCCTAATGTCAGAAAGGTTATGAATTTTTGGCAGCTAGATGGCAAAGTTAACAATCAGAAAACTGCGCTCGGCATGGTGAACATAGAATTGTCAGAAAATCAATATAATGGACAGGACGATATTTCGTCTGACCATTGGAGGTGGGGGGAGCTTATAGCTATTTTAGGTTCCAGTCAATTTTCTTGCTATCTATAATGAGGTAAAAATTTAAATACCTTCAGAAATATCGGTTCTTCATCAGACATGCCAACTTGCTCCCGACAGCAAATAAATATTTTCGAGTGGTAGTTTATTAATGCATGATTCTTGGTCAAATAAATTTTATTCATTAGGTTTTTATCTCTACCACTATTTCTAAATAATTCGAACGTTTATATAATTCGCCACTTTACTCCTGTCAAGTAAAGGCTTCGGCCATACGCAACGATTTTGCTCCAATCAGCCAAGATGTATGAAATGCGCAGAAATGCTCTACTCATATCAATGCAAGACAGATAGAACTTTCCCCGCCAAATGCTGCAACTGCGAGGGAAGCCATAAATCAAATTTCTTTGGGTGCGAGGCCCGGCCTAGAAGAAAAAGTTTGCAGACTAAGGATACACCTGCTACCTCAGCTCATCGACTTGTTACAATCATCAAGGAACTGCAGGAGATCCTGAAAAATCAAGAAGTGCTAGGTTTACTTTAATCTCTAATCAAGGGGTCTTCCCCTACAGAATGATGATCTTCTACTCCAACTCAAGCCAACCCCCAACAAGGACTCGATTTTTTATCGAAAACTATCGTCATTATTACAGGCGCCCTCGGGCACTACCTTAGATGAAGAAGTCAATTGTCCGCTTCGCGGACAGGTACTTTGTTCCCTACTATAGTTCAAGTTCCAGTCAAGTCATGATACACCGTTTAAAAAGTAAGCAAAATTAAGTTGTATTAATTAGTTGTGTTGCAAAATTAAGTAGTTGTTTACCGTTTTTTTAAAATATTATGGCGCGTCCGGAGCAGTTGGCATCTCTGCTTCATTGTTGAAGCAGAGGAGGCCCCCAAGGAAGTTCTTGCCCCCTTGTCCCAATTTGGCTAAGTCGAGCCCAGAATGTACGGCAAGACTACTCAGGCAATTGAACTCAAATAACCAGTAAAAGATCAAGGAAGATACCTCATTTCCTTGTTTTTGTTAGCGGTCTTACTATTACTTTTGTATTAATTTTATTTAGTTTCATATACTTCACCCTGCATAAAAAACAAGTAGCACAATAAATATAATAAAAATTTTACTACCACTATATATTTAATTTAAAAATTTTAACTCATTAATTTCATTCTAGTCATTAATTTCATTCATGATCACGATTACCAAACGATGCTTCCGTACAATAATTTGTCTTTATTGTTGTTTCTAATACGACTTGCCACACGGGAAAGCCTGCTAGGTGAAACCGAGCAAATTTAAGGCAGAGTGTGCGTTTCTTGTTTCTAAGTGGCGCCATCTGTGGCCAAGAATTCGACTTCTGCCACACCATACGTCGCACCCGTTTATAGGGAGGATCCATTCATTCAACCACAGATCGTAATTTTGAGAAGAATCAGAGAACGATCGATCGCCAATTCAGTACCCCCAGAGGTTTTGATTTGTTATGGGAACATGGAGGACTTTTGCGACTCGACAGATTTAACGTGCATCAGTCACTTTACTACACGGGGAGTCTTCGGCCGGCGGGGTTCGAACTCTCGGACCTGGGCCCTACCGACCAGGCTATCCCGGTCCATTTTTCTTTGCAAACCCCAGAAGAGCCAATATATTATGTAATCTGGTTGCAGGTGATACTCACCTACCAGCCAACTTTTAATCCCTTCCATTATCATTTTTCCCAGTGGTATTAAAATGGAATTTAAACTTCAATTTTAAGCAAACAAATACGTTGTATATGAGCAAACTTAAGTTGACAACCATGGTAGTAACGCATATTAATATATGTGCTTAATTTTTGTAAGAATAGTGGTGATCAAAATCATTTAAAATTAAGTTTACAAAAGAAAAAATAGTATATATTTACTACCACTTTAAATATGAAAATAAAATTTTACGCCAAATGCGTAAAAGTTGGCAGGTATGAATACACCGGAAGTTTTCAAACTTTCTTCCGGTTTCAGGAAGCTTGTTATTGCTTACATTCTGTCAAACATGCATATAAATATATGTCAACAGTTCAGAAACAAAACACATGTTATAGATCGAATTTTTAAAAAAAATTTAAACTCTTAACTACATCTTTAATGAATTTTGTGGACGTAGCTATTACTTACTTAAAACGTGAATTATAATTTGCTAAATCAATTATAAGATATTATTACTTGCTTAAAAAATTCATTTGCTTCAAAAATGTACAAATTGGAAACAAAGGTCGACATGTTTCAAGCACTCAAAAATAGACGCCCATTATCAAGACTTGCCAGACGTTAATGAGAAGAAACGAAAACGATGTGAAAT